CACCCCAAAGAGAGGGGAAATTTTTAAAACTACTTAGGTTGAGGCTGGATTTCTTATTTAAAGGAGCCTGTGTCGTGTACTGTAGGGATTTCACAGGTAGCCAAAAATCCTTACTTTTCTAAGTTTCTTAAATCGAAGAAAGTAATTCTTGCATTCAGAGCACATGCTGCCTGTTACTGATGTCCAACAGTGGAGGAAAGCTGTCAGCTCCTCCTGTTGGCTTGAAATGAAAATACTAAATATCTGATATTTCAAATTTATTTTTATTTTTTGGAAAAAATTAACTTTAAGTTTTAATGTACAAGAACACAATATAATACCCACTTATTTTGTACAATATAAAATGTTACGTTGAGTAAAATGGATACCTAACATGTCGCACTTTAAAATTGTGGACGTTCGTGGAACAGAGACAAACTGATACATTAAATTATTCATAGGTGACCCTTTAAAAGCTGTTACACAGGAGTTCTGGTACTAGAATTATTGCTGTTGCTATAATGTGTGCGGTGATAGCTCACATGTGCGGTGTGAACACTGTTTACATATGCGTGCGTGACCTATGTATGCATTTGCCTTTGTGCATTAGGGGAAGGGGCGCTTTAAATTTCATTTTATTTAAAAAAAATTTTTTTTTGCTCAATGACAAGTCCTCTTTATGGAGGATCTGGGGTATCTAAGACCTCAAATCTCTCTTCTGCCCTTCAAAGCATTAGGTCAAATCGAGACTGGTTTGATCTGACACTTTCATGGCGTGTTTACATCCTAGTGAAACCAGAAGTGAACAAATTCTCGCCATTTCTGGTTTCGTAGACCATAAACATGATCTAGGGCATTCTGGTCCTTGCTCATGGTTTTGCTTTGGTGTCTATAAAAGGTTCTTGTGGTAAAAGTCAAGGAAGCGCTTAAAATTCTGTAGTGTATTGATGATTTTAAAAACAGAATAGCTGCACATATAACTGCAGGATACACAATTCACAGCATACAAAGTATAACAAAATATGCCTACAACATGCACAAGCTAACTATCTATGTGATAGGCATACACTAAACGTTACTTAGTTTGGTTCTCTCCAGTAATGGTCTTCTCACGGTTCGAAGAATCCAGGATCTTCCAAACTGCTTCTGGCTTCTCCAAAAGTCCTCAGAACGATCTCCTCCTCTGTCTCCAGAGTAACTCTTGTCTCTCCCCACATGGTTGTCCAAAGTCCTCTTCCCTCCCCCACTTCTGGTACATCATATCCTGTAAGTAACTTCCTGTGCTGTTCATAAATCAGTTGACCGGGTTCATTTGCATATCAATGGGGAAGGCCTAGCTTCAAATACAAAACATGTAACTTAAAAATCACATATATTGGCCTCAGACTCCGCTTTCCTCCTGGTTCCTCCTATCTATTGCAGCGCTCCTTCAGTGTTACCTATAACGCTGCAAACTCCCCTTCACTCCCTCTCTCTGTCGGGGTCCCTCAAGGCTCTGTCCTCGGACCCCTCCTCTTCTCCATCTACACCTCCTCCCTTGACCAATTGATAAACTCACATGGCTTCAACTACCATCTCTATGCCGACAACACACAAATCTATCTCTCTACCCCTCACCTCACCCCCTCAGTCTCCGATCGCATCACCAGCCTACTAAGTGACATATCGGACTGGATGTCACTCCACTTCCTCAAACTCAACCTTTCCAAAACTGAGCTTCTAGTATTCCCCCCAGCCCGCGACCGCACCCGGCTTCTCCATCAAGATCAACAACACTACCATCAATCCCACCCCTCACACCAGGGTACTAGGTGTAATCCTAGACTCCAATCTGTCCTTTCAGCCCCAGGTCCAATCACTGACAAACTCATGTAGACTTCACCTCCGCAACATCTCCAAGATACGACCGTTCCTAACCTCGGAAACCACTAAGCAACTCATCCACTCCCTTATTATATCACGCCTTGACTACTGTAACTCCCTCCTCACTGGCCTACCTCATCGCAGGCTATCCCCACTCCAGTCCATCATGAATGCTGCTGCCAGACTCCTTCACCTTACTAACCGCTCTGTATCTGCCACCCCTCTCTGCCAATCCCTCCACTAGCTTCCAGTTGCCCAGCGGATAAAATTCAAAACACTAACCATGACATACAAAGCCGTTCATAACACTGCCCCTAACTACATCACCGACCTTGTCTCTAAATACCACCCAAACCGTACTCTCCGCTCCTCGCAAGACCTCCTACTCTCTAGCTCCCTTGTCTCCTCCTCTCATGCTCGTCTCCAGGATTTCTCACGGGCTTCACCCATTCTCTGGAACTCCCTACCTCAAGCTATCAGGCTATCGCCTTCCCTGCTCACTTTTAGGCGCACTCTGAAAACTCATCTCTTCAGGGAAGCCTACCCTGACCCCGGCTAACTACTGGAATCCCCTACTCCCCCAACCACTCCATCCCCCACAGCTAATTACCTCTTGTACCACTATCCCCTCCCTCCTAGATTGTAAGCTCCAAGGAGCAGGACCCTCTAATCCCTCTTGTATTGAACTGTATTGTTACTGTACTGTCTCCCTCCATAATGTAAAGCGCTGAGCAAACTGTCGAAGTCCTGTATAATAATATCTAATCTTTATAAAATCACCATATATCCATAGCAACACACTCATCTCTCTGGTCAACCGGTGGAACAGTCCCGCCCCCACCCCACCCCCTGTCAGATAGGAGAGCCCTGAAGATGGCGGAAGGGGGTTTTTTCCACTGGCTGTAAAAGCGATCACTTTTACATTAAAGCCCATTTCCAGCTAAAAGAAAAAAAAAAAAGATACTGGGATGATGTCTGTAGCTGCAGACATCATCTCCGTGTAACCCCCTCAACCCGGTGACATATGAGTACGTCGTGGAGGTTGCAGAGGTTAATGTTTTTAGTCCTGCAAATACTTTATTAAAATAAAGTCCAAATAACAATGGGGATTTTGTTTACTACTTTAATTTGTAGGATGGTTTGTACTCTAGTCTCAAACATATTCAGTTATGGTTCACCCAAGCTTGAATCGTTAAATAATGGCACACATTATTGCACCTCTTAAAATATATATATATATATATATACACACACACGTGAAACTCAAAAAATTAGAATATCGTGCAAAAGTTCATTTATTTCAGTAATGCAACTTATCTCCTAGATTGTAAGCTCCAAGGAGCAGGGCTCTCAAATCCCGCTTGTATTGAACTGTATTGTTATTGTATTGTCTCCCGTTATATTGTAAAGCGCTGAGCAAACTGTTGGCGCTATATAAATCCTGTATAATAATAATAGGTGAAACTCATATATGAGATATTACATGCAACGCAAGATAGTTCAAGCCGTGATTTGTCATAACTGTGATGATTATGGCTTACAGCTCATGAAAACCCCAAATCCACAATCTCAGAAAATTTGAGTATTGTGAAAAGGTGCAATGTTCTAGCCTCAAAGTGTCCCACTCTAATCAGCTAATTAAGCCATAACACCTGCAAAGGGTTCCTGAGCCTTTAAATGGTCTCTCACTCTGGTTCAGTAGGAATCACAATCATCGGAAAGACTGCTGACCTGACAGTTGTGCAGAAAACCATTATTGACACCCTCCATAAGGAGGGAAAGCCTCAAAAGGCAATTGCAAAAGAAGTTGGATGTTCCCAAAGTGCTGTATCAAAGCACATTAATTGAAAGTTATGTGGAAGGGAAAAGTGTGGAAGAAAAAGGTGCACAAGCAGCAGGGATGACCACAGCCTGGAGAGGATTGTCAGGAAAAGGCCATTCAAAAGTTTTGTGGACTTTCACAAGGAGTGGACTGAGGCTGGACTCAGTGCATCAAGAACCACCACACACAGATGGATCCTAGACATGGGTCAACATGATCCTGAACAACAACAACAACGTCAGAAGTGTCTTACCTGGGCTAAAGACAAACAGACCTGGTCTGTTGCTCAGTGGTCCAAACTCCTCTTTTCTGATGAGAGCAACTTTTGCATCTCATTTGGAAACCAAGGACCCAGAGTATGGAGGAAGAATGGAGAGGCACACACTGCAAGATGCTTGAAGCCCAGTGTAAAGTTTCCACAGTCTGTGTTGATTTGGGGAGCCATGTCATCTGCTGGTGTTGGTCCACTGTGTTTCATTAAGTTCAGGGTCAACGCAGCCGTCTACCAGGAGATTTTGGAGCACTTCATGCTTCCTTCCGCAGACTAGCTTTATGGGGATGTTGACTTCATTTTCCAGCAGGACTTGGCACCTGCCCACACTGCCAAAAGCACCAAAACCTGGTTCAATGACCGTGGGATTACTGTGCTTGATTGGCCAGCAAACTCGCCTGACCTGAACCCCATAGAGAATCTATGGGGCATTGCCAAGGGAAAGATGAGAGATATGAGACCGAACAATGCAGAAGAGCTGAAGGCCGTTATTGAAGCATCCTGGTCTTCCATAACACCTCAGCAGTGCCACAGGCTGATAGCTTCCATTCCACGCCGCATTGAGGCAGTAATTGCTGCAAAAGGGGCCCAAATCAAGTACTGACTACATACGCATGCTTATACTTTTCAGAGGTCCGATATTGTTCTATGTACAATCCTTGTTTTATTGATTGCATGTAGTAATTCTAATTTTCTGAGATTGTGGATTTGGGGTTTTCATGAGCTGTAAGCCATAATAATCACAGTTATGACAAATCGCGGCTTGAACTATCTTGCTTTGCATGTAATGAGTCTATCTCATATATTCGTTTGACCTTTTAAGTTGTATTACTGAAATAAATGAACTTTTGCATGACATTCTAATTTTTTGAGTTTCACCTGTATATCTCTCACAGTATCTGGCTATACACTGGAGGTTTCAGTCAGGAAAATCATACCAGGTTAAAATATTGATATAGAAGGGCAAGCACAGGGTTTGTGAGAAATGCAGGTTTGAATAGGCAGTGTTTTGACTTTGCTTGATATCTTTATGATGTGTTATTTATTTTTTATTTTTTTCCATAGGTTGCTAGAGAAACACCTCTAGATGTTGTAAGTAACTAATTTCCAAGACAACAGGAATGAACATTCTATATTTATGAACTTGTGTGTTATTTTTGTATTGTAAAAATGTTTTTTTTTTTTTTCTGAGAATTGGAGCTAAGTGCCCATAGCAAGTTTTCACTGTCCACAGTTATTGTGAAATATGAATCTTGATAGCTTGGGGGTCAGCTCTGTTTGGTTTCTTTAAATCTGTCAAAATGAATAACATTTACTTGCATTTTGAAATGGTGTAATACTTGGCATCCTGCACAGTGAAATATGACTGTTGCAAAGTAAACTGTCCGATGCAAATGTAACAAAGTACAATGAGGAAAACTGGGTTCAGTCCTCCTTTAGCTCCTTGTTGCTGTCCATGGCTCTGATTGTCCCATAACATAGAGATAGCCCTGACAGGCTGAAAGCCAAACATTTTAGATGGCCTTCTTGTGTCAGCATATTTTATTTATCCAGATGCTCCTACCAAGAATCCTATTTATTTCTGTTACCTCTGCTGGTTTCTCCACTGTTGTCACAATCAACTACACATTACTGTTAACTATAGTGACAACTGCAGAAGTGGACTTCTGTGTTTGTGAAGTTGGATGAGGTCTAATACAGTAGTTAGACTAAGCAAAATCAAAAGGATCACTGTTTTTTGTTTTCATTACAGCTTATGGAAACATCAGGTACAGACATGCTGAATGATGCAGATACCCGTGCTCCAATAAGTCCATTGCACTTAGCGGTAAGGATTAATGCTTTCATTTTTTAGATGATTAAAGACAGAGGGGAATTTTATCTACAAAGCACTGATAATTGATGAGTTGGGTGTTTTTTTCTTAATATGTGCATGCCAATTTACCAGATCTGTAGAGAATTGCAAACTTCTTGAATTATGGCAACTGACACTCGTAGGTGGAGATTTACTAAAACAGGAACACTCAGAATCTAGTGCAGCTGTGCATGGTAGCCAGTCAGCTTCTAACCTCAGCTTGTTCAGTTAAGCTTTGGCAATAAAACCTGGAAGCTGATTGGTTTCTATGCAGAAGTGCGCCTGATTTTGTGCATTCCGGCTTTAGTAAATTATTCCCGTAATTGGCAATGTTCTTTGCTAAGTGGACAATTTTTCCACATGCAAAAAAACAGAAACAAATTTTAGTTTCAGTTTAAAATATCTGATTAGCAAAACTTTGCTGCATGAATAATCTTTTACTCTGTTAATCTTTAAATAGATTCTCTGGGTAAAAGAGAGAACAAAATAATTAGAGTTCCTGTGGGTTATCTTTTTTTTTTTTTTTTTTTTTTGAATGAACTAATGATAATCTGTAAAGTTATTGCCACAATAATTGGACATTAACAGGCAACAGCAGTGTTGCAGCATGTGAAACACAGGTTAAATCTACTTATCTGGTACCTGTATATATTTGGAGTCTTGCTGTTTAAAAATGCATTCTTGTCAAAGTACAAAATGTAGCATCTGAAATAACACTGGAGACACAGCTAACTGGAGTGTGTCTCATTTACATGCTGACATTCCACCTTCTATGTAAATTTCTAATGTTGCCATGGATTCTCCTCTTCTCACAGACTAAATGTGAACCTATGAAAATGCCTTAACTTTACAATAAAGTGCCTAAAAGGGAGTTTGCATAGAGTGGTGTGACATAAGTTGCCTGCATTGCCACCCAAAAACTGCACGAGAAGCTTTGCTAAATCTCTACTCTATTTAAATGTACAATTTCTGTTTGAAATGTAACTCTTTGAATAAACTGGAGACTTTGTAGCTTCAGTCATGGTCAGCTGCATTATTGCTTGGATAATGTTAGCAGATCATTGACTGTTTTGTTACTTGGAGCTGCTCTATAGTAAACAAAAGAAAAGATTTGGAAGTATTTTTGTGGCTGCATTAGTTTCTAAAATACTTGCATAAATGTAACAATTTCAGAACCCTAGCAGAAAGGCAGAATCTTTTGTTGGTTAGCATACCCTCAGGATATATAGCAGTATTTCTCAGTTGAATTTTTTTGCATATCTTCAGTGTGAGGAAACTCTTTTGAAAGAAGAAATACTAATTGTTGTCTACCTGTTAAGTCTCCTACATAACCATGCTTTGACTAGAACATTCTCTGACATGACCAGCTTCAGTATGTATTTATAACAAAATAGCACATGCCAAGCTAAGGGCCTTTTTAGCTGTCAGCTAGTGTGCATATAACTTCTACCAAGTGTTTTTCTAAACATGTTTAACAGTAAAATGGTGTATATTTTTGTTCCAGGCATACCATGGGCACCACCAAGCATTAGAGGTGCTAGTACAATCTTTGCTCGACTTGGATGTAAGGAACAGCACTGGAAGGACTCCTCTGGACCTGGCTGCTTTCAAAGGACATGTTGAATGTGTAGATGTTCTTATCAATCAAGGAGCATCAATATTAGTAAAGGACTATGTTGTTAAAAGGACCCCCATTCATTCAGCAGGTATGGCAGATTAGACAGAGATTAAAGTAGTATTAAACCCAAAACCAAAAATGTTAAATATTGCAGCTGCTCAATTATTAATATGGTGCCTGCATGCTTTTCTTTTTTTTTTTTTTTCTTACCCTGTATCAGGGTACCTATACTCTGGATCAGGGGTCGGCAGCTCTTCATTCGTGGGCACGTGATAGGTAGATGGCACCCCTTCCTTGCTGAACCCCAGACCCTGGACACAAGAAGCGGCAGCATTTACTGGAACTGAGCCCTGTATTTTACCTCCTGAAGCTGAAAGCCTGCTTCTCCTCCTCCCTGTCCCGCTGGCATTCAGCTATTGCAGGAGGAAAATACAGGGTTTTGTTTCAGTAAATGCCACCCCCGCCGCCCCTCTTGTCTTGGTTTCTCTTCTTTTCTGCTGGCCATCCCCCCTGTGCTCCCCTGATCCCCTCTTCACCCTCTCAGGGCTGCCAGCTTTCTCTCCAGTGTACACTCCCCTACTGACACTCTCCACACACAGTCCACTCCCCTAATGACCATGTCCACACACTACCCCACCTCTATGGACACTGTCCACTGTAAAGGTAGACTACATTTATATTTTTACAGTGACATTTGTTACATTTTCCAAGTTTTCCTAACTTTTTAGTTAGGCTTTGCTTGTTAATTTCTTTTTTTTTTAAAGGTGATGTTTTATACTTTTCATGTTGTTCAGGTAGATCTCCACTTCTTCTCAAAGGCTGTCTACCCCTGCTCTAGATGGAGCAACATAGACACCTTTTGGATGACAGCTTTGTCAGTCTTGATGGTAGGATAGAATTAGATACACTAAACAAATTGAAACCATACTCTTGGCTGACACTTTACAAGCAGTTACAGCTTTGTTCTTTTTGGGTTAAAGGTTTTGCATAAATAAAAACTGACCATTGTTGGCACCCCGTCAATGTTAAATGGTTTGTCCCAACCCTCTAACTGCTACATTTGCAACACAGCTTGTTCTTTTGAAAAACAACAGACTTACTGCCGGGATCACCAGGTGAAAATAAAAAAGGATGTTTAAAAAAAAAAAAAAAACTAATACAGCTATCACATCTAAAAATTGGTAAGCTGCAATATGTTTTCTTTTGGGTTTAATGCTGGTTTAAAGTGAACCTGTACCTTGCACATACAGGTCAAAGCAACAGGTTCAGTTTGTGTGCTCTACTTCCTGCATACCTAATTTCACTTTGTTCTCTCGTGGCTCTGTTTGACTTACTAAGATTATGAAAAAAATTGGTACATCTGGGTTTGGGGGAGCTTATGACTTTTTTGCACAAATATTTTGGTGCCTGTGCAGCCAATTGCTAGATACCAGTGCTGTCACACGGAGAGAGGATCTTAAGCCCAATTTAAGCTCCAGCTAGATCAATCTGAAACCTTTTGTTGTGCTCCTATAGGTGAACAGAGTGGCAGAGAAGCAAAGTAAAAGTAATCATAAGCAGAGTAGAGGACAAGCATTTAAATTAAGCTTTTGGTTTTCTATGCGTGAGCCAATTATAGGATAATTTTAAAGTAGCTCCTGAGATTTAAAAATAGTTTACAGTACTGATTCTGTACTTGTATAAATGTATTTAAATATCTAAAGGTGCAGCCACATTTCAATTCATTTGAGACGTCTCAAAATTATCAATAGCCAAGATTGAGAGAAGACTTTTATGACTGTTATGATTTGCACACAACTATGCCTGAAGCAGTCTGCAGTCTCTAATTTGTTCTGTACGAACATTCTCATCCACTCTTTTTAAAACATTTGGTAGATTAAATTGCTTAAAATTCAGTTTATAGAATTGTGTGCATCTAATGCTTAATTTGTATGACCTAGAACTAATTTGTACTTCAGTGCTGAGTGCTTTTTTTTTCCCCCCCTCTTAGCAATCAATGGACACTCCGAGTGCCTAAGACTCCTGATTGGAAATGCAGATATTCAGGCTGCAGTGGATATTCATGATGGAAATGGACAGTAAGTGTATGCTTTTTACTCCAGCAGTATAGAGTGTAATTTTAAATTACTGTACAGAATCGTGAAAGGTTTTGGGTCATGACTTCTATTTTATCAACAAGCCTGTTGAATGGAAGTCCTATGTCTGCCCATTAATAGTAGTACTGAACACCACAAGTATATCTGCTGATTCAAACATATTGATAGCCACAATATGCCAGAAATGTGAACATTAGCCTAGTTGGAAGTACACACATGGAAGCAGCATGCCGCTTCATAAATTAGAGGCTAATTTATTATGGAGAGTTCGTATTGCTATCCACTCTGTTATGCACTGCTGCCCTATGCACACCACAACCCATCCCATTTATAAAAGTCAGGCCATGGTATGTAGAAGGTGAAGCCCCGCAGAGTTCTCTCTGCTCAATGAAGCAAAGCACTGGAGGAGAGCCAGTTGTCTGACTTTGACAGGTCAAATGACCAAGCTGTACTCCTGGCTTTTTTTTTTCCCAGAGAGCATCCATTTGTTTTTATTGTGCTTCATTTACCTCACTGTCTTGATACCGGTGGTGTGTTGTGCACATTTGCCAACCATATTGTTGTGCATTATAAATGTGCAGTGTTTGTAGCCATACTGCTCCTTGTAAAAGAGCTCATAATTCTTAAGTAGAGGTGAATGACAACTGCTTTTGTACAATTCTCACAAAAACAGGCCCTGGAATTAACAAAGACTGGTGCAAACAGATTTTGCAAAAGTGTCTTTCGTGTCCTGAAAGTGATGTACCTTTCTAGAACTTGAACTTAAATTTGGAACATGCTGTGCCACTTGCGTGAGAGACACTTTCTCAAAATCTGTTTCTCGCTGTACACCAAAAAAGAGTTGGTCTTGATTAGCTTCACTTTCATAAGATATGAACTGTTGCATTTTATTTTGAATTTGGCACATTCACTGCTTCACAAAAGTGTAAAAGTGACACTTTTTAGAATTACCTGAATTTCGAGCAAGAGTCGCTGTCGGAACCAAAAGTGTTGCAAAAGCTTAATGATTTTGGTGTATTACATTAACAAGAGGAATTAACACCAACTTTATTGGATTTCCCCCAGTATTCGAGTAGATACAGAGGATATTTATCTAAGTTTCCTTTTCTTTTTTCTTTTTTTTTTGTCGGACACTCGTGTTCCATGACCTGGAAGTCAGGAAAATGGGTAGACAGCATTCAAAAATGACATGTTTTGAAATTGAGACAGAAATTTCTGTGTCATACTCGAACAGGTGTGTGATGTGCACTGATTTCACTTGTTGCATACTTGCTCCTTATTGGTGACTAAAAGCATAGAATGCAGCAGCAGATCAGTGGTCATCTGGGTGGATTCGCCCTTCTTTCATTTTAAATGCAAAGAAGATTGGTACGTGGTTAAAGTGAAACTCTAAAAAACATTATATGGTTTCATGTTGGTTTTTTTTTTCATTGGAGGACACAACACAATAGAAGGTCTATCCATTCTGTAGCAAAACAAATACAAGTTGACTACACTCTACGAATATTATCTTGTATAAATATTAGGGGTGCACCAAAATTTCGGTGGCTGAAACGTTTCGGCCTAAAACACCCCTATCGGCTGTAGGCCGATATGAAAAAAAGCATCCATACAGATGCTGAAAAAAAAACCTGCCCCCTTGTCGCTGCCGCCACCCGCCTGCTGCTGCCGTCCCTTGCCCGGTAGTTCTCAGCCATACCTGAGAATCCATCAAACGATCCCGGCGCTGGGCATAGAGATTAGTGAAGGAAAGATGGCCTCCATTCATCTCTATGCCGTTGGAAGACCGGAGCGATGTCACTTCCAGTTCCAACCATTTTTTTTTTTTTTTATCTTTTAAAGCAGTAGTTTAATGCTTTTTTTGATCTAATGCTTTACATTGTAGAGGAGAGATGTTTACAAAAAAAATTGGGGTATATATTGTGGGGTTTTTGTTTTTGGTTTTTTTTTTTCCAAAAAATATATATTCATGTTTAAAAACTGCTCGTTTTGGTTTTCGGCCAAGTGCATTTTGAAATTTCGGTTTCGGCACCAGAATTTTCATTTCGGTGCACCACTAATAAATATCAGTGCACTAGGGATACCTGAAACCAACCCAGCTGCTGGAAACACCCTTACCTACCCCTGCTGAAAGAATCAATTCATAAAACCAGCGCTATTTAAATGGTCACAGTCTCTAATGTCTATAAATGATGTTTACGTATTATGTTCTCACCAGACGAAGAGACCCTTTTCACTACTAAGTCTAATAAAGCATGTTGTAATACAAATGTGCACCTTGTCTTTATTATGTATAGTTCATCTCTTCTGTATGAGATTCTCGCATTCTTTGAAAATCAAAAAGTAATACGGTAGATATAAAAAGTCTACAAACCCGTTAAAATTTCAGGTTTCTGTGATGTAAAAAAATGAGACAAAAATAAATAATTACAGAAATTTTTTCACCTTTCATATGACCTATAAACTGTACAACTCAATTGGAAAACAAACTGAAATCATTTTAGCGGGGGAAGTAAACATAAAAAAACTAAAATAATGTGGTTGCATAAGTGTGCACACCCTCTTATAATTGGGGATGTTGCTGTGTTCAGAATTAAGCAATCACATTCAAAATCATGTTAAATAGGAGTCAGTACACATCTGCCATCATTTAAAGTGTCTCTGATTAACCCCTAATAAAGTTCAGCTGTTCTAGTAGGTCTTTCCTGACATTTTCTTAGCTGCATCCTACAGCAAAAGCCATGGACCGCATAGAGCTTCTGAGGGATCTCATTGTTAAAAGGTATCAGGAGAAAGGGTACAAAAGAATTTCCAAGGCATTAGATATTCCATGCAACACAGTGAAGACAGTCATAATGAAGTGGAGAAAATATGGCAGAATAGTGACATTACCAAGAACTGGACATACCTCCAAAATTGATGAAAAGACGAGAAGAAAACTGGTCTGGAAGGCTGTCAAGAGGCCTACATCAACATTAAAGAAGCTGCAGGAATATCTGGCAAGTACTGTCTGTGTGGTACATAATGACAACAGTCTCCTGTATTCTTCATATGCCTGGGCTATGGGGTAGAGTGGCAAGACGAAAACCTTTTCGTATGAAGAAAAACATCTAAGCCCGACTAAATTTTGCAAAAACACATCTGAAGTCTCCCAAAAGCATGTGGGAAAATGTGTTCTGGTCTGATGAACTGTTTGGCCATAATTCCAAAAGATATGCTTGGCGCAAAAACAATACTGCACATCACCAAAAGAACACCATACCTACAGTGAAGCATGGTGGTGGCAGCATCATGCTTTGGGGCTGTTTTTCTTCAGCTTGAACTAGGGCCTTAGTCGAAGTAGAGGGAGTTATGAACAGTTCCAAATACCAGTCAATATTGGCACAGAACCTTCAGGCTTCTGTAGGCTGAACGTGAAGAGGAACTTTGTCTTTCAGCATGACAATGACCCAAAGCATACATCTAAATGAACAAAGGAATGGCTTCACCAGAAGAAGATTAAAGTTTTGGAATGGCCCAGCCAGAGCCCAGACCTGAATCCGATCGGAAATCTGTGGGGGTGATCTGAAGAGGGCTGTGCACAGGAGATGACCTCGCAATCTGACAGATTTGTTTTTGCAAGGAAGAGTGGGCAAATATTGCCAAATCAAGATGTGCCATGCTGATAGACTCATACACAAAAAGACTGAGTGCTGGAATAAAATCAAAGGTGCCTCAACAAAATATTAGTTTTAAGGTGTGCACACTTCTGCAACCATAATATTTTAGTTTTTTATTTTTACTTCCCTCCACCTAAAATCTCAGTTTAATGTAACCTATAAACTGTATAAACAACAAAGGTGGAAACCGTTCTGAAATGATTTATCTTTGTCTCATTTTTTTACATCACAGAAACCTGACATTTTTAACTGGTGTGTAGACTTTTTATATCCACTGTATATAGTGTAATATGCTTCAATAGTTAGAACACAAACTTGTACTGTGCTCACATTTAAACAAGTGCCATGTGCCACATTAAATAAGTGCCATGCATCACAACCCAGTGTTTTTGTGTGACATCACTCTCTCTTCCATAATTATCTATGCTTCCCAATCAACAACTGGATCTTGCATATATCATATAATTGCCATCCACATTATTCCTCATACCGTCCTCCGTAAATGATCACCAAACCAAAAAAAAACAAAATTGTCACGATACTGAGATACCTCTTTTAAATAATATTTTTTTTAAATATATACTCGCATCCATCCACCATCTGCACCCCAACACTCTCAAGACAGTGAACCTTACAAGACTTTCAAAAGCCTATTAGCCTACAGGGGCTCTATATGCTCATTTATTATACTCCAGTCTCCGCTCTCTGTCTTCCTCCAATGATATCTACAGGTTATTATAGCAGAAACCATGTAAAACACTAAGAAGAGCCATATTATAGTAATTTAAAGCATAAAAAGAAATTTATTAGCTACTTTATGAGCTTATATAAAACTGATATAGCTAAAACATATGCAAACCAACTCCAAAATGTTAGTAATTTGGGCGTGCATCTGATGTCACTTGCTGATGCATTTCGTCAGGTTGACTTTCTCAAAAGATGTTACCTTTTCACTTTCTGAACAGGATGATCATGGTCACTTTTTTTTCCCTAATGTCTGCAGAGGAAAGACTGAATACACATTAAATAATGCATGTGCCCTAAAAACAGTTTATCTGCCTGTTCCCCAGTTATTGAATGTGAAGTATGATAATGGAGGCTGACATTTGTCACATTTTCCTTTTTTTTTTACCATTTATTAAAGAAGTATTAAAGGATAAGTTCACGTTTCATAACATGTTACACCCATATTCAGGGCGTAACATGTTGTGATCACACTGGCCCCTGCTCCCCTGCTTTGACAGCTAGCTGGGATCTTCATTTGTTTTTTTATATAAAAGTGAACTTCTCCTTTAAGCCCCAAAGCAAACATTTATTATATTGTAGCTTACCATTACTTAGATGTGATGGCTACATTCTTTTTCCCCAAAAGGAAAAAAAATGCTTATAAAGTATTAGCTGGAGTTTGGCTTCAGTTCTAGTATATTTAAATCTGCAAATACATCCAACACTCCCCCTCCCTACAAACTGACAATGCTGCTGTCACAAGGTACCCCCTGTGCTCATAAATCAAGGGGGGGCACTGTAATACAGGAGGTGTGTTATTAGCCAGATCACCAGTTGAAAATGGAGGGGATAAAAGCCTAAAAAAATATACTAATGCAGCCACCACATATGATTGGTATGCCGCAACATATTACATGTTGGTTTTGAGTTTAATACCACCTTGATCTATAATATTCATAATTTACTACCTGATTACAGTGGGGAAGAGTTAGAACTTCTACCCTGCTTGGGGATATTTCCTCTCACTTCTGGCCATTGACCACACTAGAAATAAAAGGAATCTCTTAATTGGGACCCAGACAGCAGTGAAAACTGACAAAGGTTTTCCCTTTTTGGTTTGCCTAGTGATACTGAACACAGGCTGTTTCATCATTACAACTGAGTTATATGCAGCTGCCTTTTTGGGTGGTTGTACACTGACAAAAAAAAAAAAAGGCTGCGGGGATATCCTCCAACCTAACATCTTCTAGCCTTAATAGCCTAATTTTTGGTAGTGTCCTTATGGGATGAACTACTTCTTCACTGAGAGAAGCTTACCTTCTTCTGTGGAGGATTCCCCATATTGCTTTATGGTGTTTCACCAGAATGATTCTTCTATCAAGATTCCTGCTGCACCATAGCCACTGATACTCTTAATCCAGCTTTGGGATCAGTTTACTCCTTTGCAGAGCCTTTGGGCCTGCACCAGGATCCCGCCAGATGCGGGGTCAGCTTGTAATGTTGCTTACATGTACTGGATCCTTCTACAGATGTGCCCCTTGCCAATGTAGTGGCGATGGAGTGTGTAGCAGGATGCTTTGCAGGTCCAAGGCTGCTGCAGATCCCTGGTTCCTGAAGTATCCTGGTGAAATATGCCCATTGTGGGCGATGCCAGGATGGGGTATATCCCCTGTTACTCTAGATACACTAGATAAATGTGAGTGGAAGCCATGTAAATATTTAGCCCCAGGTTCTCCTCATTCTCTAGAAACTCTTCGGAATGTGTGGGAGCCTCAAACCACCCTTCTAGTAGACACAGCAAGGAGCTAAAAGTGCCAGGACTAAGTTGGTGCCAGTTGTGTCCCTTAGCTCGTCTGTAGTGGCACAATTTTGCCTGTGAGCACCCTCCCACCCCCTAAGTGGTGCCAGCTGCAGTAACTTCAAAGAAGGTGGTGCAGGCATTGGAGCAGCCGGAGTCTGCTCACCCCATGGTCATCCAGTATAGGGTCAGCTAAATTGCTTAAACCAACCAAGACTTTCCCAATTCACTCGGTGGTGGAACCTTCCCTGTATGGGAACTGTCTTCACCTAGAGAAGATTTTTACTCCCACAAAACGCTTCACCAAAAGTATCCTGTTGAGTTTCCTACATAAGTGGGCAGTTCCTGTATTCGCTATAGTCTGAAGGGTAGCGTTCCTCCCCTGGTAAGGCACACACTACCAGATCTGTTAGCTCTTCATGGGCAGTTCAGCATTGGGCATCTGCTTCTCAGATTTGCAAGGCTGCCACCTGCTTTTAAGTTTAAGGCTCCTTCCACACGAATGGACTTCACTAGCTGATCTTCCTACTCAGTGGGATATCTGTCCACTGATCCCTGCTGAGCAGGCGCATGACAGGTCTGCTTTCCTCTATGGGTGGGTGGATGTAAATATATCACCTGTCTGCTTACATGCGACACTCATCCGATGTAAATGGACTGCCTGTCCACTTACATCTGACTGTCATCCGATGCGCTAGACGAATGGGGAACCGCTCCCCATCAGTCTGTTTTTAGTGGATATGATCGGATCAGATTTAGGCGGGTGTACACATACATGTCTGTTTACATCTGCCTCTCCATTGAGGACAATGGATGGTCCGATCGGGGGGGAAAGGGGCCTTACCAGGTAAAAGTTTAGATTTCCTCAAAGGCTTAAACTCAGAGCAGCTTGTAACATCTTACACCAGAGTAAGATGTTACAAGCTGCTCTGAGTTTAAGCCTTCTTGACCAATTTGTTTTTATGAGCCTATTGGGATTGTTTACTGTGTTGCTCTGCCCTCCGTTGCTTTCAGACACCCAAATCATATTGATTAGTCTGTGTCCTGTATCGTATAACTAAAATATAGAGTTTTTAGATTACCAAAAACAAATCAGTTTTCTAGAGTTTAGTACAGGCATAGGTCCCCTCCTATCTGTTCTTATGATCTACCTTTTGCTTGCTTCAAAACTGAATATCTGGGAGTAGGAATGATTATATACCACACAGGAGGAGGTAAGTGAAAAACCCCTCAATGGACTTAAAGATAGAACTAAAAATCATTTGCACTATTTAATGTGAATTAAAGGGTTTTTCTTTTTATTTGCTGAACATATGCTCTAGTTTGCCAAAGGAACACTGAAAAATAATACAGCTTCTTTCTAAATCAGTCATATTTCACTTGAAAATAGTTTTTATTAATTTTATCTAGAAGGAGAATATTGATGCAGTATGCATTCATTTCTATCCTACATAAATTATCATAAGGTTCAAATCTATTTGAAATCTTTCCAGCTAATTTCAAAATTTACCCTCATTTTATAGCCCACTTTGTTTCGGTGGCCTGTCTGGCTGAACATTTCTGTTGTAAATCTGCATTGCACTTCTGTTTGCTGCCTAAGTGCATAGCTGGATACAAGCCATAAGGAATATTGCTCTGCTGACTGCTTCACTTTCCCGTAAAACCTGTGTCTCTCTGCTTTCTGTCTTGTATTGCTTAGGACTCCATTGATGCTCTCAGTCCTGAATGGACATACAGAGTGCGTTTATTCATTGCTAAACAAAGGAGCTAATGTTGATGCCAAAGATAAATGGGGAAGGACAGCACTGCACCGAGGGGTAAGGCATTCCTCTTTTCAGCTTTCAGTGTGTTGTTTTTCTACAACTGAACAGAACAGCAAGGCAAGCCCTGCACTGTTTATGTGCTAAACTTTACTGCTTGCAAACAGATTAAGTATTCACTGAATAACAAACATTGATCTTTAAAAAGGTTCAGTATGGGCTATACAGGTTGTTTTCTATATGGCAGAGAAACAGGTAAGAGATTTTGACTAAAGTTCTGTTATGGCAAGCCATTTCCTATGAAGACTGAGTATTTTTTTTTCTTTTTTTATGTACTAAACCTAAGTAGAATTTTCCTTTTAACAAGGTTATGAGAAGACTTAGTGCACTTAATTTTCCCTTACTTAGGAGACGTAAGCATTCTTACTGGAATTCTATTTATATACGTTGTCATTAAAATATATACTTAAATATTGTTTCTACATCCAGTAGACAGTTTATCACTAGAGACTGTTTCCTGAGTGCTGACAATGCGATGAACATAATTTGAGCAATGTTGTGTTTACTGCTTTTATTTCTCATTAAAATCAATTTGTGTCATCTTACACAAGTTTTTTGTTTGGAACTGCTGTTAAAAGATGACATTTACAAGCTTGCTTTAAAGTGTTACTAAACCTGCAACAGTAATATCTGTATATGCAGTAAAGCATTCTTGTTATACTCATCATTGTGGAACCTAAGGGGTTAATCCTCTGCATTGTTTAAAAATGCAGTTTGATCCTGTATTCTCTGATTCTTCCCTTTTTCTACTGTCCTCTATCCATCTCCTGATAGAACAGAGCCTTGGGAGCAAGCTGCACGTGCTCCGTTTTGGTGTATATTGCTAGAGTTTTTTTTTTTTTCTTTTCTTGGGTGAGTGCATGTGATCAGCATGGTACCAATCAGTATTGCCCAGAGAGAGGGTCAGGGGTCCTGCAGCCTCATAGGGGAGAATGAAAACTCCTCCTTCAAGCTTTAACCAGTGCTCTGCTGGGCACTGATAGAAGTCACAAGACTGTTCTAACTGCTGATGAGAAGAGGTATTTAGCTGTTTATATTTACTAAAATAATTGCATTTCCATTTTCTGCATTCTGTGGAAGACCAGATATAGTGAATGCAGGGCTCTGGGTTTAGTAACACTTTAAGTGGGTACCACAGCACACCGTTTTTTAAAAGGTGCAATGCCTTTCATATCGATCGGTTGATGACATTTATATATATATATATATATATATATATATATATATATATATATATATATATATATATATATATATATTCTTTATGTATAACTTTTTCTTTTTTTTTTTTTTTTTTAAACTAGGCAGTGACTGGGCATGAGGAGTGTGTAGAGGCATTGCTGCAACACAATGCAAACTTCCTTTTGCGAGACTGCAGGGGAAGGACACCTATACATTTAGCCGCAGCATGTGGTCATATAGGAGTTCTGGGTGCTCTTCTGCACACTGCAGCTTCAGTAGATGTTGTTCCCGCAATAGCTGACAATCACGGATACACATCTCTTCACTGGGCTTGTTATAATGGTAAGCAGTTTCTGTTTAGATAATTCCTCTAGTTCTTCAAAATCCTTTTTTTCTTTTTTTTTTCGATTTTATTTGGAAATTATAGTAAGTTCAGTAACTACTGCATCTATGGCATATCATACATTTGGCTGTTTAATAATGCTGCTTGTACTTGTGCTAGCTGAATTGCAGGTTTATGTTAAATCCTCTATAAACTTTCAAAAATGCATGCTTGGCTTGTTGCTCGTTAATCTTCGTGTTGATCTTTTTTTTTTTTTTCTTTCTTCATTTTTATTAAGTGTGAAATTCCTTTGCACTATGTTAGTTTGCTTGTTTTCCTTAATACTTGCGACTACGCTACCGGCAGAGTCTGTCTTGTTAGGCATAGTTGCATGCTTCTGTTGCTATACAGGATTTATATAGTGCCAACAGTTTGCTCAGAGCTTTACAATATAATGGGAGACAATACAGCAACAATACAGTTCAATACAAGAGGGTTAGGAGGGCCCTGCTCCTTGGAGCTTACAATCTAAGGGATTATGTATTTTTCCGAAGTGCTCTTCTCCTTTGTATGTGAAAGGCTGTGGGAAATTCTTTACTATAGACTGACAGTGGTTTCTGCACAAAGCCCCATTGTAATAAAATAGCATGGCATTACAGCCAGAGTGTTGTACATTGTTGGGTTGGCGAACAGCATGATCTGACATGCTTCTGCCTTTGGTGCTACCCACAGCTCTTTCTTTAATGTGGGGTGATTGAGTGGGAGAGGAGATGGATTGTAGGCACCCCCTTATCGTTAAGAGGCACTAAGAAGTGGATACATTCAAGTCAGAATGGAGGCTCCAGGATTCCCAAGGGAAGAATACACAAGTGCTGAAGGTCCCATTTATTAAGTTAAGGAATCATATTTGTCTGATGAGTGTGTCCACCACTGGAGGAAGAGAGCATGCATTTCACGTCTCATTGTGGGGAGATATTAAAGCACTGAGAACATATATGGACTTTATGTATTTATAATTTTGGATGCATCTGAAAGTATATGCATACATTTGTGAAATCAAAGGGAGAGAAACAAAAGAAACAGCGCAAATGTCAACTTTCGTTATCTTTATGCTAAAATAAGTTAGGAAACTGACATGGTTGATAAAACTACAGGCTCATCAAACAAATAGTGCCAGGACCGCTGATTCAATAAGGAGGAGATGTAGTAACCAGGGTATGCAACCGGCGCTGATAGAGGAAGATGGATGGCACATCCCCTGCTCCGAGGTGATTGCTGGAACGCAAACCTGTTTGGCATCATGGTGCCACTTGGGAAGAGGGGCTTTGTAGATCTGATTTTTATTTGGAGATTTGAGTTTTCATTGAGATACACGTTCACTTTAAATCACAACTTCATTTGACACGGGATTGGACATTTTTGGATAAGGTGTATTGTATTCCAATTTTTTTTGGGGGGAGCGGATTTTGTTTGTTTTTATTTTGCTGGATGGATCTGCACAATTGGATTTTTATGTCAAGTTTTTAAGTCACTATTACAAGAGAAGGGCTTTTTGTTTTTTTCAGGCCATGAGGCAGTGAAGTAAGTCCAAATCATGATGTTCCCTCCACAATACATTGGCATTGGGATGATGTTTTTGATGTTGGTATGCTCTTTCTTTTGCGTCGCACATAGTGCTGAATATTATTTCCAGACAATTCAGCTTTTGTTTCATCAGTCCACAGACATTTTCCAAATAACACTGTGGTTTGCCAAGTTGCTCTGTGGCAAACTTCAGGTGCACAGTAGTGTTTCTAGAGAGCAGCGGCTTCTTTCGTGGTGTTCAGCCATGGACACCCTGCTTGTCCTTTAGTATGGTGACTTATGAACAGAGGCGGACTGACCATTTGGGCTCTCAGGCACTGCCCGAGGCCAGTAGGGGGTCCCATGAGCAGGGCGGTCTTTTTGCACACGGAGCATTGCATAGGTCCGGTGCACGGAGGGGACATCTCTGAGACAGACTTCCTCTCCTCCCCCATCCTTTGTACTGTGTGTGTGTGTGTTTTGTAGGCCTACAGCCCGTAGCAGGGCACCATGGATTGTGGGTGTCAGATGGGTGGCACTGCGTGTGTGCACTGGCTGCTGCATGGGTGTCATTGGGAACATTGCATGTCCAAGAGGGAGTCACTACATGCTGCTTGTGGATAGATGAGGGGTGTCACTACATGGTACATGTATATATTTGGCTTCCTAAATAAACATACAGTTGAGCGCTGCCTAATATAATATGTGACAAAAATAACATACTAAACATACATCACACATAAATTAAAATAAAGTCCTCAGTATCAAGACTGATTATTGCAATAGTGCACATGGTTCATTCTCTGTGCTCCCCACCAGTGCTCCCACTCATTCACCAGCTGTAGTGGAGTTTTATAGTGAAACAAGAGTCAATCACGCTTTGGTGGGACCAGATCAAGTTCTGCTGAATCTTGTAGTCCTTCTGGGATTAACTGTGCTGGTCACCCTCAATCATCCTGGTATGGCAATGGAGTATGAAGTGTACGAATGCAAGGAATGGAGGAAGGCATCCACATCTCCTAGATTGTAAGCTCCAAGGGGCAGGGCCCTCGAACCCCTCGTGTATTGAATCGTATTGTTACTGTACTGTCTCGCATTGTATTGTAATGTAAAGCGCTGAGCAAACTATTGGCGCTATATAAAATTCTGTATAATAATTCTAGTGTAATACTGTTTATTAGGTTAAAAAATATATATACATATATTGCACTCACATGATTCCAGAGAAAAACCGCATAAAACACCGGAGTAGGAAGCAATGCAGCGCCATGCACGCCAACCACTGGAAGTGTTACTGGAAGAAGCACGTGCACTATTTTAATAATCATTCTTGATACTGAGGGCTTATTTTAATTTATGTGTGATGTATGTTTTGTTTTGTTATTTTTGTTACATTCTATTATGCCGTGCTCCTAAATGTATGTCGTTTAATTAGTGACGGTTATACCTTTTGTAGGAGCAGCAGCCTTTTATATTCACTTTTAATATTGGATTATATCACAGTATTGACTGGTACACACAATCTGTTTTTCTCATGCAATATTTGTCCTGGGCGCAGGTTAGTTACCACATTATTAATACATGCTTCCTGTTTACAGATGGTGGGGTTTACTTTATGCTGCCTGTTTTTAGATGATGGGGTGGGGGTCACTACATGCTGCCTGTCTGCACATTATGGGAGGTCACCATGTTACCCCTATATAGTTCACAGGAGGGTTGTCACTACATGCTACCTGTCTACCATGGGTGTGGACTGACCATTTGGGCTCTCGAGCGCTACCTGGGGGCCCCATAAGCAGGGCCATCTTTTTGCACAGACACCCCTGAACCCAGCCCAGGGACCTCAGGTGCATGGGGGGGGTCCTTAAGTTCCTCTCCCCCCCAACTGGAGAGGCTGGTGTGTGGCTAGAGCAGCGATTGGTGCAGCTGGTTGAGGAAATAACTGAAACAGATCTTTTGTGGCTCACTGCTACAGGGTGAGCCACAAAATATCATTTCCAGGTACTTCCCCCCCATCCGCTGCACTGATCCAGATTTCGCTTGCTGCCTGGCTTTTCCCAAGGCTGTCCTTTAAGGAACTAGCACTTTTAAATACAATTTCAGAAGTTGAAAACTTTTTAACAAAGGGGTTTGTCTGTAAAAAGTACCCATATTTCTGTATGGGTCTGTCTAGTCTAGGTTTGTATAACTGTTTACGACTGTAAATGTCACTGTATCTACTCTTGTTTTCTTCCTGTATAACAAAGACTCCCATGACTCTTTTGAGGCTCACTTATATACCTTATGAAGTATTGAACTGCTGTATACTCATGTCTTCAGTCTTCGTCTCAAATTCTGCCTCTTCTATAAAGCTGGCATCATCTGAGCAGTTGCTTTTATCCTGGTTTACTGACTATAGGGAATTGATCGAATTAGTGGGGTAGAGTGGAGTAATGGTGTTGCCTGTAGTGAATTTGCGGTAAAGACTGCTTACCAATTTTCCATCCAGATTTACCGAGACCCTCACAAGAATTAAATTGATTTGTTGGTTACAAGGATATAGTGGAATTCAAATTGAAATTGTCATTCAAAACATTCATAAATTTGTCAAATACTCGTGGCCCATAGAAAATATCATTGATATACCTGTGTCCCAATATCATGTGACACAGGTACAACCATAAGGCATCATCAGAAAATACCTGTTGTTCCCACCCCCTAGGTACAGGCTAGCTTAAAACTGAGCACAACACACTATGAACATGCCTTATTTTAACACTTTAAGAAAAGCCCTGAAAGCATGTGTAAAGAAGCTTAGAGTGCCACCTGGAGCACTGCATAATTGATTTAATATTTACTTGGACAAAAAGGAAGAACGCAAAATTGTATACAGAAACACTATACATTTAATACAGCCCAATGGTGCAAAGATACAGAGTATGCCACAAACCGTTTATCTTTTGTCCAGATCAGGCAACATCTCAGACGCATTTTTTTAAATTGATTTGATTCTTTTTATATACTGTATATGCTCAACTGTTTCCATATTGTCATGCTTTAAGTGTATGCAAACGCAAACAAAACATTTCTCTCATTTACTCCGTTAAATGTACTACTGAAAGGGTTTTATTATCTGTTGAACAAGTTCGAAAAAGAAATATCTGCCAGGCAGATATCTTGTGATCTGACAACTCTGTGCTGTCTTCCTCTGCAGTATTCTGTTAGTGTTGTTCCATGCCATCTCTATCATCAAAACCTCTTCTGTTTTGGAGAAGAATTTACTCACCCTTCCTGGTTCCCTCACCACCTCCCTGCTGCAGGCTCCATGCTCCCAACGCTGTATAAGTTCTGGTTTTGGATGGTGTCTGAGTATACCTGGGTGTTTGACATCTCTATTCCCCCTTGTTGACCTTGTTCAGTCATGGTGACTGGTTTTTCAGGTCCAAACGCTGTCACAATGATGAGGTTACATGCTCCCTTATACCCAAAGAATCTTGTTTCATTAGTGCAGCAGAGCTAGTTGCAGTTGAGGGATGCAAATGGCTGAATATACCTTACTATGGCCGTCGGCTAAATGGGCAATGTGGCAGTGTCTCATTATTGTAGATAATTGTCTCATCATCAGCAAAAATTCTAAAATATCAAATGATACTATTATACATTTGGTTTTAATTCCATTTATTCATAATGTTCTGTCATTACCATCTGCTATTCTCTTGAATAGGTCATGATGCCTGTGTAGAGTTGCTGTTGGAGCAAGAAGTGTTTCAAAGAATGGAAGGAAACTCATTCAGTCCCCTGCATTGTGCAGTGTAAGACAATTGCACTTGAATGGTAGTATGTTTCTATCAAAACCTGTATGTGTGCAGTAATTTTTTCTTTTGCTCTTTCCTATAGCATAAATGACAATGAAGGTGCTGCAGAAATGCTCATAGACACATTAGGTACAAGCATTGTGAATTCAGTGGACTCAAAAGGAAGGTAAAACCAACAGATTCTCTTTCAACATGCAATTGTCAGTCTGCCTTTTAATAGTAAAGCTGTCCATGGGATACATTTTAACTTTTTATTGCTATTAGCAGAAAATACAGGTATTAAAATGTATATAAACATTACAATGAACACCTGGTCCCTTTTTGATTTGTTAAATATACCACTAACTGTTTTACAGCCAGGTACGTATGACGTACTAACCTGACAGCGGGGGAGATTTACAAATACTCCCGTTGAGTGCAGCCACTGGAAGTATGTGCATATTTGACAAGATGACTGTCGCCCGATTGCTTTCAACTTTTGGAACTTCATATTCAGTGCTTGGCCATTGCCTGGGTGACCATCACATGTTGTGCTTTGCTGTTGGCGGTGAGATGAAGAAGTCATCTTGTTCTGGGGTGTCTGCACACTTTGGGAGCCCTGCTTATCCTGGCCTGCCAATCAGCTGGTGACTCCATGCACCAGGACATGAGGAGCCAAGTATGGCACACTGGCTTACTATTTGACCTCTTGACTCTGCAGTATTTACTCCTGACGTGCTCTGCATGCGTTATCACAGACCCTGCACTTTATGCTTTTACTCCTGACTCCTGCACACATTTGTTGCCTGCGCACTGAGCTCTGTGTGTTATCTACTCCTGAGCATTGCACTCTTAATCCAAAGCAAAATAGGCTCAGGTTGTATTTAACCATACCTCTGTAAGCCCTTCCTACGGTTACCCCATTCATCCACACCTACAATTCAGCACATTGTGGTATCCACACCGCTTCATTTCTATATATAATGCACCCTGGACATTTTGTTAGTATGCCATGATTGTCTGCCGATTCTTCCAAAAGCCTGCAACCAATTGTTTCAGGGCATGTTAAAACTGAAGGCTTGATTTTGAAAATTGATTTTTATGGTTGTGTTTTAAAGTGGATGTGGTCAGTATTGGGGTCCCAGGATTTCATTTGAAAAATGTGGTAACCTTTAACACAGTGTGTTCTGTCACAGCTGCTCATATCCGCAGTCTACAAAACATAAGCATCATAAGCTGTTTTGTGTGCTGTAATAACAGGTTTAGAAATGTCATTAGGAGCTTTGCTATTTTTATTTTATTCACACTTGTTTTTGTTAACAGGACGCCCCTTCATGCTGCAGCTTTTACAGACCATGTTGAATGTTTTGCAGCTTTTGCTCAGCCATAATGCCCAGGTAAATGCTGTGGATTCTTCTGGAAAGACACCTCTGATGATGGCTGCTGAAAATGGACAAACAAATGCAGTAGGTAAGGCAGACTGCTATTTACTCCTGTGTAAGCATCTTTGTCATTGGATAGAAACTTATTTGTTACCCATCATAATGTTTCAGATAAACTTGTTTAAAGAACTTATGAAATTTTCGTTAATGCTAATCTTTCTTATAAATAGACTGAACACTAAATATCAGGGCAAATTAACTCCTTTCACTGCAATTTTTTTTTCTATACACATATTTAAAAACCGTTTTAGGCCGACAAAAAGAGAAAATGGTGTTTCACGTTTTCATGTCACATATTAACACTACAGTTTACCAGATGTAAAATCTCAGGGGGAAAAAAAAAAAAAACCACACTAAAGTAAATTCTCCATAGGCAATGTCAAAGCACTTCCAGCCCAGAGGATATATAACTCGTGTGTGTGTGTGTGTGTGTGTGTGTGTGTGTGTGTATCTATCTATCTATCGATCTATCTCCTCAGAAGGAAGCCATGATACCAGGATCATAGCTGCAGTTATGATCTGGGTATTTTGTGAGCTGGCAATTGGCTTCACAGCTTCCCAATTTTTTGTGTGTGGGGGGTTGTTTTTTGTTTTTGTTTCCATTTTTAAACTTTTTTTTTTTTTTTTTTTTTAACTGCTACTGCTATCACAATAGTGCTAATATTAGACTCTAGTGTCACCTCTGCACTGTGCTGACCACGCACAGATTGTGATCAGTGAGCATCTTCCACTGTCAGGGAGGCTGGAGATTTACAGCTTTGAACCTGGAAGTAAACAGGGCTGGTCGCATCCAGGTTCATTTGTTAGAGTGGATGTTCACTTTTCTCCTGATGCTCCTCTATCCTGATATCCATCAATACGGTCCTGGGCACCCAGGCAGGAATGTTCTTGGGGCACATGGTGGGGGAAGGGGGTAGAGACACTCAGGCTGTAGAAATGATTGGTTTCCATAGACTTGTATGAGAAGAGAAGCAGTTCAGCAGAGACTGTAATATTTCCTGTATTTACATGGTTGTGTATATTTCTAATCAATAGCTTGTGTTTGTCAATTGCATTAAAATGACATTCTGTTCTGTTACTTTCTGTTTCAGAGGTGTTAGTTAGCAGTGCAAAAGCTGATCTCACATTGCAAGATAACAATAAAAATACTGCACTACATTTGGCATGCAGTAAGGTACGTATGTAAGAAGCAGCATGTGCCTCACTTCCTCTGCTTTGTGTAGTTCTGGGTACCATCTTTTTACTGCTTCCTGCAAGTTGAATAGCACTAATTTAATTCCTTAAAAATTTTCCATTAACAATTTGTACTACTGGGTTCTCTTGATTTTTCTCTTGATATATTCTGAAACCACTTGGAACCTATGTAGCAAAAAATGCAATTCTGCGCAAAAATGGGAAGTCATTCAGGAGATTTGATAACATGAAATAATAATAAAAAATCCTCTTTGTAAATCATTTGATCTGTTCTCAGAGCTGCACAGATAGATCTTAAAAAAAGAAAACCTAGTTCTAGAGTATTACTCCAAGATGAACTTTTTTTTTTTTCCCCTTTAGGAGCAGTAGAGAAGGGTTAGAAGCTTGGTCTGGTTTTTATTGCTGTGTATGTCCCCATTGCGAATATATACAACCTCACAATTTGTTCTGGTTTGAGGGAATCCAAAATGTTACAGTTGCCACTACAGCAGGAGTGGAGGGATGTCTTTTTCATTTGGGATACCTGATAGGGTGACGACTGCTTTCCCTCTCATTTTGGGGAGATTTTTGCTTACTCCCTGCTGCATTTCGTGGGACAGAAAGTGCAAGTTTGTTTTGAATAGAGTTACATTTAGAGGACAAGGGCATCTAATCAATTTTTCCTGCTGTTCTTTCTTCTTTGGAAATTGCCTTCCAAGTGGTAAGCTTGATTAAAGTGGTAGTAAACTGCAGGAAAAAAAAAACTACTAGCACATTATGTAGGATTACCTTTAAGTGTTGCTATACCCTGCAGTCACTATATCTGGTCTCCCACAGTACACAGAACATGGAAGTGCAATTATTTTAGTAAATATAAACTGCTAAATAACTTTTCTCATCAGCAGTTAGAGCAGTCTTGTGACTTCAGCAGAGCACTGGTTAAAGCTTGTAGGAGGAGTTTTCTTTCTGCTCTAGGAGGATGTGAAACCTCTGACCCTCTGTATGGACAGCGCTGATTGGCCCTGTGCTGATCAAATGCACTCTCCCAAGAAAAAAAAAAAAAACCTCTCTAGAACTACACACTAAGCTGAGCATGTGCATGTGACCACGCATTCAGTCTGTATCAGGTGGTCATTTCAACAAGAGGAGGGGCAGAGAAGATAAAATCAAACCGCCTTTTTACACAATGCAGAGGATTAACCTCTTAGGTTCCACAGTGAGTATAACAAGCATGCTTTACTGCATATACAGACTGATTTTACTGTTGTGGGTTTAGTAACACCTTAAAAGGAAGCCCTCCAGTGGCGCGCTGTCACCGCTGCAGAGGCTTCCATCTTCACCCGGTCTTCCTTCGGGGTTTGCGAGCTCTGACAGGCCGGGCCGCGATGACTTCACTCCCGTGCATATGTGCGGGAGTCCTGGGCCACGACACAGTACTCTGAAGGAACGGCACGGGTATGCCATTCCTGCAGAGCGCATGCGCTGGCTCTAAAAAAGAGAATGTCCCCTATGGTGCACATTTAGGAGATATTCATTTTATCTACAGGTAAGCTTTATTATAAGTTTACCTGTAGGTAAATGTTAAATTAGTTTACTACCACTTTAAATGTAGATAGACTAAGCAAAGACTTCAGTGAGGAGCATTATTCCATCACATGAAGAGAGCAGTCTCATTGATAAAAATGTATGCAAAAAATTTGCTCCCTGACTTTCTTCTTTGATATTATTCAATCGACAGTATTGTTTAAACAGGTGTCAAATGTACCAGAACTGTGATTGAAAATGCCAAAGTTGCTGTAAAACATCCAGGGTGCTGGAATTCTAGTGGTGCCACAGCATTTCATTTTTTAAATGTTTGTGTTACTTTGGGTTTTGTTTTGTTTTTTTCACATCCTAGTATGGTTTACATCCTGGTATGTTTTACTACTTTGCTTTTTTATAGGGTCATGAAACCAGTGCCTTGTTAATACTAGAGCAAATTACTGACCGAAACCTCATCAATGCAACAAATGCAGCTTTGCAGACGTAAGTGGTAAACCGGTACAGCAGCAGATGGCGCCCTCATCCCAAAGCACACAATGATGTGATATCCAAGATAAGAGAGACCAACACTGCAACAAATGTAACTAATGCAGGCTCTCTGTTGAGGTCTTAGCAAAGTTCTGTCATAGACCGTAACAGAACTGTGCAAGGGAGCGAAGTGATGTGACTCCTAAGTAGAATATCTGCCAATCTGTAGTCCTACACAATCTATCCGGCTTTTCATTATTCATTTTAGAGGACCAATTTCCCTTTGAACTTATGGGAGCTTCTATGACAGTGTTTCTCAACCGGGGTTCCGCACGAAGTCTCCAGGGGTTCTGCCACAAATCAACATTGTGGTGGATGTATACTGCCCAGGGGTGGACTGACCATTTGGAAACTCGGGCAGTGCCCGAGGGCCCCGGGGTCAGTAGGGGGCCCCATGAGATGCCCCTGGTACCTTTTTTCATAGGCTTTTTTGAGTTTGGGCAAGGACACAGGGTCCCCATGATCCCCTATTGCCCGGGGGCCCCATGAGTTGTCAGTCCGCCCCTGATACTGCCCTCTGTTTCCAGTTCTTAATGCACACTACCAGTCAGTACTGTTAGCACGCATTGACATCTGATGTCTCCTCTGTAGTTCCAGCTTCTGTGAACTCAGAGGGAGGTGCCGGGAGTACTGCACAGAGCGGGAGCTGAAGGGGGAGATGATCGCAAGACGGTGGGAGGGAGCACAAAGCACAAGCCCATGACTGGATCACTAGGTGTGATCCCTTGATGACTGTGTAGTGTTGTTGTGCAGAGAGGGACAGAGAAACGGAGCACTGTGTGTGTCGGGCAGCAGTTAATACAGACTGGAGGTTGAGCAGAGAGAAGGAGCACATGGCTAAAACAGGAGGTGAAATCTAGTGTTTGGCAGCAGTGATGCAGACTGCAGAGAGGGGGAGCGCACAGTTCGATGAGACTGAATGTAGTAGGAGGTGAGATCATATTAGGTTTATGTTATGCCATAACTGTACATAAAACTATTATGATCTCACCTTCTGCTACATTCAGTCTCATCCAGCCATGTGCCTCTGCAGTCTTCATTCAACACTACCATACACTGGATGTCGCACACTGCTACATCAATCCATGTGCTCCCACTCTCTGCTTCCCGCCTCCAAAGTCTGCATTCACTGCTGCTATACACAGGATTCCACATTCTTTCCCACTCTATGCACTTTACTCGATGCCACCCTCTGAGTTCACAGGAACCACAAATACAGAGGAGGCATCAACATCAGGTATCAATGCGCAATGCCAGTGCGTATTAAAAACCATATTGGATGGCTATACATCTGCAACAATATTGATCTGCCCATTGATGGAACCCCATGTGAGAAACCCTGGATTAGCAGAGCTGTGTAAGGAAGCATACTGTTTACTGCACTGTTCCCCACAGGTCCTCTTCTTCTGTCTGTCCCAAGTTGTTAAATGTAATATCACCTGGGATGGGCGAGAGGAGGGTTAGTGGGGATCAAGAAGAAAAGGCATGTTACAGCAACAGCTTCCCTGCACTGCTCTCGGTTTGTTAATTGTTATATCTACAGTTCGCTGATCAGATCCAATGTTCCGTGAGCTGTAGATCTGAAAAAATGTTTTTATCGGGGGTTCTCCAAGACCTCAAACTTTTTGCCAAGGGTTCCTCCAAGGTAAAAAGGGTGAGAAACACTGTTCTATGACATGGATTAATTTAACGCAGGCCTTCTTAACACATGTAGTCCTGAAACCCTCCAAGTGTCAAGGGCTTTGTATGCAAAAATATACTATCTACCCTTATGCCTCAGTGCTTGCTCTGGGAAGTAGTAACGGTTTGCTGGACAATGCAGTTATATTTATATGAGCATGGTATTACAGGAGCAGTTTTTGAAACTGCAATCAATAGATCAATGTTATATGTGATTTTGTGCTGTATGGTGGCTTGGATTAGGTCCCCACTGATCTGATCCAATGCTGCAAAAAAAGACGTTTAAGCATTAAACATCTGCTTGACAATTTGGATGCAGAGAAATGTAAGGTCAACACTACCAAATCATTTTTTAAAACACTTGTTTATATTTTTAGCCGTAGAACTGTCTACACCTATGAGATGTTATAAATATATTTTAACCTTTTGTGAGCAGAGGAGATTGATGACCACACTGATCACCGTTTTGTATTTATTGGCTTTTGAATAAATAAAGCTATGCATACTCTGCCTACCTAAATAATTTTTACACTGTTTTATATATTTTGTATCTATTACTTAAACCATGTTTGGTACTCATTAAAAAGTTTTTATTCTAGTTGTACATTAAATGCACCTAGAAATAAAAAGTAAGGCTTCATGCACACTGAGCGTTTAAAACTGCTTTTTGAGGCATTGCTTTTTTTTTTCCTGCCTCTAAACATCCCTCCATGTTAGTCTGGGTCCATACACACACAGGCTTTTAGAGGCAAAGAAAACGCACTGCCAGTCTAAACATGTTTTAGCGCTAGGTGTATCAGCGCTTGATCGTTCATTTCAATGGCCATAATAAATAATTATTCTGGCCAATGAGGTGAATAAACTCCCAATCTCTTAACACGCCTAAACATGTCTAGAGGCATTTACGTGTCAAACATTTTTTTTTCTGCCAAAGTGCTACTACCAAGAAGGGCGTTTAAGAGAGCTGGGCAGATGCCCTGTGTGCATGGTGACTGACAGTTTATCTAGAAAACAGCCGTGTAATCACAACATGGCTGATATGGTAACCACTGTCAATGGAATGCACAAAGCTGCTTGCAGGGGAGTGTTAACCAAAGGATTGGCATACAATAAAAATTGCAGTCTAGTGATATTTGTTACTATACATTTCTTTCTAGACCCCTCCATGTGGCTGCTAGGAATGGGTTAACGGTTGTAGTCCAGGAACTTTTAGGAAAAGGAGCAAGTGTATTAGCTGTAGATGAAAACGGTAAGTTTCTTTCTTTCAACCATGTGCTTGTGTAAGTGTCCATTTCCTGTAAATAATCAATTGTCCAGATGGAGTAAAATCATTTTCTTTTCATTTATCTGTCTAATTGAGTGAGTTTAGAATAACTCTGCACTCTGTGACCTGCATGTTGCACTAGGTATAATATTTTAGGGCCAAGTCAAACCAAAGCATGATCACTTTACTTTTGCAAAAGCGTGCAGGTGCAAATGAGTTGTTAATCGCACTGCAAATGCAGCATATTTTCGGCCACCAAATCGCATAGGATTTCACTTGTGTTCAGAAGACTTTGGATCTGTCTGGAAAGTTTCCAGCAGCTGCTGTCATTCCCTGTGGGTCATACAATGTTCCTCTGCAGGAACCCAAGCAAGTGAATAGAAGATAAAAACTTGCCTGATGACATTTTTAGAAGCTGTCATTTCAGGTGTCTTTTGGACCACTGTTGCAATAAGAATTTATTTCTCGTTCTTTGAGAGACAAAGGATTCAGGGGTAATTTGGTTATACAGCTCCTACAGGAGGATTTGGACACTGGCAAAGAAAAAACGGTGGACAGCTGGTATAATCCCTGTATGATCCCTATAATGCTAGTGTTCCAGGAAGATTTATGTTTTTAACCATTTTTAATTTCTTTTTTTTTTTTCCTCAGTCAACATTTCCCTTCATGCCACATAAGATGGTCTCTGTATGCAGCTATACAGATTGATGTAACCTCAGCAGTAGCTTTGGAGGCTTTACCCACACTTTGCTGGACCGGGACATTTGGGGGGCTAGCATGGAATGTGTTTTCGGGGGACTAGAGTTCCATATTGTGTCATTTTCCAGGCCTGAGTGTAGCTGTGAAACAATTTCGGGTTCCAGAGCCATGCTTTCTGCTGTTTTCAAGAAGGGCATTAATGCTTAAGGACTGAGCAATGATGCACTTGGTTATGGGGAGTTATGCATGCTCTGCACTCTTGTTCTTGCCAGTTCAATGAGCAGTAACATCTCCTGCTACTGCTCTGTGTTGCAAATAATCTTTGTGCAATCTTCCTTGGTTGGTCTTTGCTGTCTGTTGCAGTGACTTGGTCACCCTTGACCTGGGCTGAACCTCTCCTTCCAGCAGCCAGTTTGTGAGTACCCTCCGTTTACCCTTATACCCTATGCTTACATTATCCTTGCCTTGCAGAGCAACAACTCAGATCCCAGACAGAGAGGAGTCCCATTGTAATGGGTTGCCCCAGCTCTCTGTTCACTAACTGCTCTGGTGCTGCCTGCATTGAACCTTCTAAATGATCTGAAACAGGCAGCCAGGAACTTTGTCCTCTGCTTTAACCTCTCCACTCCTCTTTCTTAGCTGTGTCAGTTGTGGCTCCTCACTCAGTTCTCTCCATGCAGGATTTTTTTACAGGTATGCAGGATTTTATGGGACAAATTGCGCCTCTGATTCCTTATTCTCACTCCAGAGACCAATTTATCTGATTGGCGTGCAGCCTCTGTGCCATCTGCTGCTGTTGAAGTTTCTCAAAAATCCCTTTATCGGTGGATATTGCCCCTGAGGATCAAGCAGCTGCCACTGCTCCCTAGCTTTAGAGACATTTGTTTTTTAGCTCTCATTGACACTGTGCACACCACCTCGAAATTGAAAGAACAGCCATCATTTTCTACCATTGATGCTGCCTGTCTAGAATTTCTTAGTGGCCCCAAGACCTTGTGTACCCCTTAGTCCCATGGATCCCTTTTGGTGTTTGGGTTATTCCTGATGAGCTTTTCAATCCTAATAAACATCCTGCAGCTCTTTACCCCTTTTGGAGTTTGCCAAACTTTGACGTAATGAACTGTGGCAATAGGACTGGATCCTGTTATTCTCTAAACTGATCCTCAGGTTTGTGGAACATTTTGAATTCTTGCCAATAATCCTAGTTTATTGTGCTAATGGATTAGTAGATATCCCCTTGTCTGAGAGTCTCCTGTCACTGAACATGTGTAGAACTCTCTAGCTAAAATGCTGGGCTGCAGGACAGGTATGCTAAAACTGTTTACTGTCCTTTGAGGAGCAAGGTGGGTCTCCTTGGAGCTACCTTGGCCTGCCCTCACCAAAAATTTCACTGGGGGTAAGAGTACTTACCTGCCACAGCAGAAGAAGCCTAGGCCTGAGGCAGCAAAGACCCATCCCCCTGAGACTAAAGAGAGGCCTCAACCTTTAAAGCCAGATACCCGGTTCAGCTGCAAACGTGGCTTTGAGGATCCGCAAATATGCTGACAATCACCTTTAGTAGTAGGGGGGCATCTGTGAGCCTTTGCAGACCCCTAGCCTTCTCCACAGTTCATGCCTTTCAGCCTGCCTATGTTTTCTCACAGATTAGCAGATCTGCAAGAGGTTATCAACCCAGTTCCTATTGTGGAAAGGTTTCAGGGATTTTACTCCAATTTTTTTCACAGTTCCCAAACCAAAGGAAGGCTCACACTCTTGAGCCATCACCGTGTCCTGCCCAGACCACTGAAAGGATGTTTGGCGGTTCCCCATGCACCCCACGGGAGTTCTAAACTACAAAGTACCTTGCGATAAATGTTTAAAGGGCTTCTGCCCTATATTCACCAAAATCCAGTAGAGCGGATTAGTGTGAGGTCTTCAGAGACAGGGCTCTGGACCAGGCAGACCATGACCCTGAACCTGTAAAGTAACCTGTGGCTAACTCCATAAGTTGCCAAGGGGAGCAACCACAGCATAAAGTTTGGTATGAAAAATTCTAGGTAAGTCATTGCCTCCCTCCTTCCAGGGGGATTTCCTGGCCTCAACAGACATCCAGGATGCTAATCTGCACATTCCCATTTTCCACCTTGTCAACATTATCTGTGTTTTGCAGTGGGCCATCAACATTACTAATTGTTGCCCTTCCCTTTGGGTGTCTGACCTCTGTGTCTTCACTGTTATGCTTACCCTGGTTATGGCTGTGCTCAGAGGTTCAATGTTTAGGGTACCTAGACAATTTCCTGTTAAGAGCAGTCCTTATCCCTGTTATCCAACAGAAAGTACAATCTCTGCAAAGCTTTGGTTATTATTTATTTCAGGTACTTATACAGTCATGGCCGAAATTGTTGGCACCCTTGATATTTCCCAGGAAATCATGTATTTCTCACGAAACGTATTGCATTAACACATGTTTTGCTATACACATGTTTATTCCCTTTGTGTGTATTGGGACAAAACAAAAAAAGGGAGGAAAGAAAGCAAATTCGACATAATGTCACACAAACCTCCAAAAATGGGCTGGACAAAAGTATTGGCACCCTTTCACAACTGCGGATAAATAAGAATGTTACAAGCATGTGATGCTCCTGTAAACTCACCTGGGGCAAGTAACAGGTGTGGGCAATATAGAAATCACACTGAAAGCAGATAAAAAGGAGAGACGTTCACTTAACCTTTGCATTGTGTGTCCTGTCTGTGCCACACTAAGCATGGACAACAGAAAGAGGAGACGAGAACTGTCTGAGGACCTGAGAACCAAAATTGTGGCAAAATATCAACAATCTCAAGGTTACAAGTCCATCTCCAGAGAACTAGATTTGCCTTTGTCCACAGTGCGCAACATTATCAAGAAGTTTGCAACCCATGGCACTGTAGCTAATCTCCCTGGTCGTGGACGGATGAGGAAAATTGATGAAAGATTGCAACGCAGAATAGTCCGGATGGTGGATAAGCAGCCCCAAACATGTTCCAAAGACATTCAAGCTGTCCTGCAGGCTCAGGGAGCATCAGTGTCAGCGCGAACTATCCGTCGACATTTAAATGAAATGAAACGCTATGGCAGGAGACCAGGAGGACCCCACTGCTGACACAGAGACATAAAAAAGCAAGACTACAGTTTGCCAAAATGTACTTGAGTAAGCCAAAAGCCTTCTGGGAAAACGTCTTGTGGACAGATGAGACCAAGATAGAGCTTTTCGGTAAAGCACATCATTCTACTGTTTACCGAAAACGGAATGAGGCCTACAAAGAACAAAACACAGTACCTACGGTAAAATATGGTGGAGGTTCAATGATGTTTTGGGGTTGTTTTGCTGCCTCTGGCACTGGGTGCCTTGACTGTGTGCAAGGCATCATGAAATCTGAGGATTACCAAAGGATTTTGGGTCGCACTGTAGGGCCCAGTGTCAGAAAGCTGGGTTTGCGTCCAAGATCCTGGGTCTTCCAGCAGGACAATGACCCCAAACATACGTCAAAAAGCACTCAGAAATGGATGGCAAAGAAGCGCTGGAGAGTTCTGAAGTGGCCAGCAATGAGCCCAGATCTAAATCCCATTGAACACCTGTGGAGAGATCTTAAAATTGCTGTTGGGAAAAGGTGTCCTTCCAATAAGAGAGACCTGGAGCTGTTTGCAAAGGAAGAGTGGTCCAAAATTCCGGGTGAGAGGTGTCAGAAGCTTATTGATGGTTATAGGAAGCGACTGATTTCAGTTATGTTTTCCAAAGGGTGTGCAACCAAATATTAAGTTAAGGGTGCCAATACTTTTGTCCAGCCCATTTTTGGGGTTTTGTGTGACATTATGTCATATTTGCTTTTCTGCCTCTGTTTTATATTTGTTTCCAATACATACAAAGGGAATAAACATGTGTATAGCAAAACATGTGTTAATGCAATACCTTTTTTGTGTGAAATACTTGATTTTCAGGAAAAATATCAAGGGTGCCAACAATTTCGGCCATGACTGTATAGCGCTGTCAATTTACACAGCACTTTACATATACAGTTGTGTTCAAAATAATAGCAGTGTGTTCAGAAAAGTGAATAAAGCTCAAAATCCTTCTAATAACTTTTATTTCCATACACACAAATGCATTGGGAACACTACACATTCTATTCCAAATCAAAAATTGAAGAAAAATATATCAAATTTGTGTTGTTCCTCTAAAAAAAAAAATGAAGAAAAGTGAATATTCGACTGTTCAAAAAAAAATAGCAGTGTTTGTATTCTTCTTTACAAACTCAAACATTCACTATATAAACTGAAAAATGTTTGAAGATTTTGCTTTCCTTTGAATCACTTAATTAATATTTAGTTGTATAAGCACTGTTTCTGAGAACTGCTGTACATCTGTGTTGCATGGAGTCAACCAACTTCTGGCACCTGTGAACAGGTATTCCAGCCCAGGATGATTGGACTACATTCCACAGTTCTCTATTTCTTGATTTTGCCTCAGAAACTGCATTTTTGATGTCACCCCACAAGTTTTCTATTGGATTAAGATCCGGGGATTGGGCTGGCCACTCCATAACGTCAATCTTGTTGGTTTGGAACCAAGATGTTGCATGTTTATTGGTGTGTTTGGGGTCGTTGTCTTGTTGGAACACCCATTTCAAGGGCATTTCCTCTTCAGCATAAGGCAGCATGTCCTCTTCAAGTATTCTGATGTATTCAAACTGATCCATGATCCCTGGTATGCGATAAATAGGCCCAACACCATCGTAGTATGAGAAACATCCCCATATCATGATGCTTGCACAACCATGCTTCACTGTCTTCACAGTGTACTGTGGCTTGAATTCAGTGTTTGGTGGTCGTCTGACAAACTGTCTCCGGCCACTAGACCCAAAAAGGACAATCTTTCATCAGTCCACAAAATGTTGCGCCATTTCTCTTTAGGCCAGTCAATGTGCTCTTTGGCAAATTGTATCCTCTTCAGCACGTTTTTTTTTTTTTTTTTTTCAACAGTGGGACTTTGCAGGGGCTTCTTGCAAATAGCTTGGCTTCACATAGGCGTCTTCTAATTGTAACAGCACTCACAGGTAACTTTAGACCTTCTTTGATCTTCCTGGAGCTGATTGTTGGCTGAGTCCTTGCCGTTTTGGCTATTTTATCCATTCGAATGGTAGTTTTTTGCTTTCTTACACGTCTTTCAGGTTTTGGTTGCCATTTTAAAGCATTTGCGATCATTTTAGCTGAGCAGCCTATCATTTTCTGCACTTTATATGTTTTCCCTTCTCAAATCAACTTTTTAATCAAGGTACGCTGTTCTTCTGAACAATGTCTGGAACGACCCATTTTTCCTCAGAATTTCAGAGAGAAATGCACTGTAACCAGCATGTACAACATTTGCTGCCTTCCTTCCTTAAATAAGGGCAATAATTGCCACCTGTTTTTGAAAGAATGAATAACCTCACTAATAGAACTCCACACTATTATTTTGAACATGCCCCTTTCAATTAGTGATTCAATTACACAGAATCAGCAGCATGCATGTCATGACTGTTGGGTCTGTTGGATTTCTATTACTCTACAACACCTGCTAGTAAATTTTCCATGTAGAAATATCATTTCTACCAAAAACAGTGATTGATCAGGTTAGTGATGTCTGACTGCTATTATTTTGAACACAACTGTATATTGTACATTCACATCAGTCCCTAACCCTCAAGGGGAGTACAATCTAAAGTCCCTAACTCACATTCATACACATACTAGGGACAATTTAGACAGGAGCTAATTAACCTACCAGCATGTCTTTGGAGTGTGGGAGGAAACCGGAGTACCCGGAGGAAACCCAGGCAGTCACAGGGAGAGCATGCAAACTCCAGGCAGGTGGTGCCGTAGCTGTGATTCAAACCCACGACAGGCGGAAGTGCTAATCATTTAGCCACTGTGTTGGATCCTCAAACTGAAGAAGTTCATGCTGGATCCATCTCACAGATTGGAGTACCTGGCTTGACACTTGACATTGCTCTTTCCAGAATCCTCATGCCTCAGTACAAACTTATTATGTCTCTTTGTTCTCATGCCCTGAACTGCTTCCCATAGTTAAGCCCTCGATCCGTGTTTGCATAGGGGTGTTTGGTGTTATGGTTGCCTCCTTTTAAGCTTTACTGCACCCCTAGTTTCACTCCAGTTTATTGCAACTCCACATTCTGGTAGTGTGAGACAAACCTACTCATGTGGTAGGCCACCCCGTGCTTCTGACCTACAGGCCAGACTCTCCCTAGCATGATGGATTTTCCAAACCAACACTGAAATTAAGTCCTTTCCTCCACAGCCAGGGAAGGTTTGCTAAAGAAGCTTACATGATCTTCTTTTGGACAGCACTTCATGTTTTGGCCCTGTCTGCCGTTCACATTCCAGACTTGGTAAATTGGCCGGTGGACTTTCTTAGTCATCTACGTAGGGAATGGGTTGCCTCCTTCTGGAGAATTTTCAAGCCCTTTACCAAAGATGGGGGACATTGGATGTGGATCTACTGGTATCCAGATTAAACCATAAACATGACAAGTTTGTTGCCAGGGTCCAGGTACCCTCGGGTCTTTGCATAGGGTGCTTTGGTGATGCAGCAGGATCAGTTCTACCTGATCTACACCTTTATGTCCCTCTAGAGTCTCCCTCTTCTACGTCACAGGATTAACAAAGATGGCGTTTCAGTCGTCATCACTAAATTTGCCCAGTAGGACATGGTACACAGACTGCTGCATGATGCTCTGTGGACTTTTCTGGATCATCTGGACCTGCTGTGCCATAGTCCACTGTTCCATTCTGCTTCTATGGTTGCTGATTTTAATGCCATGGCTGTTGAAGCCACAGTCCTGATGGACGGGTCTTTCGGATTATCATCCCTTACTTCTTAAAGGCTAGGAAGTCCACTCCTCGTAAAGTCTATTGGCCAAAATGAAAGACTTGCCGCAGGTAAAGTAACGTTCATCCTAAAAAGTACTGTGAGCCATATTCTGTCTGTCTTCCAGATTTTACTTATTTTTTACCTTAAAATCCTCTTCTTGGAGTTCATTTAGGGACACCCCTTTGTCTGTGATCTTGCTCCTTTTGCTTTTCTATAAAACTGAGGCATGCTGTCTGTGGGAGATTTTGTTAGCTGGTCCTTGTTTTTCTGTTTGCCAGTGTTCAAATCCTTCTGTAGGTGGCAGTATAACCCAATTGTTCCATAATCATGCATCTCTCAACGAACTCCAAAAAACTGATTTTATGGCAAATGCAAAAATGCAGCTACCCTACTGCTCTGCCCACCTTGCTTTTCCAAGTATTAACATTTACTGCAGAATTTGTAGCTATAGAATCTCGCAGCAGCCGGTTTTGTAAACACAGTTTTAGAGCCCTTCCCCATTATGTCCAGTGAAAGGGATAGTCCATGTTCAGATAGAACTGTTGATTTACCCAATCTTCTTCTTGACATGACTGGCTGTGAGTACTCTGGTTAAAAGACCAACCACCATTGGGTGCTGGGGCAGTGGTTTCTGCAGTAAAGGTAAATATTCATTAGTTACTGTTAGGTAACAAGATCAAAGAGTTGATAGTTGTGACTCTTATTTGACTATAGGTCCTCTTTAGGAAGAAAGTTGTATGTTGATGATAAATCGATGAGCTCCTGCTAATGTTTTCTTTCTTTCTTCTTGCCTTCTCTAACCGCAGGCTACACACCAGCATTGGCATGTGCTCCCAATAAGGACGTTGCGGACTGTCTGGCTCTCATTTTAGCCACCATGATGCCGGTCTCATCATGTAACACAATGCCATCTCTGACTTTAAACCACTACACCAATCCCTCAAAGACAGTCACTTTTGACTCATTGCCCCTCATGAGAAGTGAGCACAGTTCATATTGCAGCTTCAACAATATCGGCAGGGAAGATGGCTATCCATACACAGAAGAAGATGAGCTCAATGACTCAGACTCGGAGACCTACTGAGGGTTTTACTGGAGCCTAGATTTTAAATGAATTCACATTGTGCAACCAGAAAGAGTTCTCATCTCTGTGCTGCCAAGGTGGCCACAAGTATATAGGTTAACTTATCGAGTTTATAAGAAAAAGTGGGGGTTTTTGTTCTTTACCCTTTTAAAGTAAACACTGATTATTTGACTTTACTTTTATTTTAATCTGACCACTTTTTGTTGGATAAGAAACCTTTCTACACCCCTGTTAATGTCTTCTAGAGATTTGGATCCTGTGATGAGAACTGTTCCCCCGACAACACCTAGCCCGGGATGGTTGAGGCCATTTAAGCAGTCATTACTGTTTTATTTAATATTTTATTGTCTTTGTGGAAAGAATCTTTTATATGGCGGGGCCTAGCAGTCCAGACAGTGGGTGACTTCAACCATTGTACAGAAAACACTATAGTGAACGTTGTATAAATTGAAGAAAAAATTTTTTGATGGCAATAAATTAATTTGGTACATCTGGCATTGTGTGTACATCCATTTGCCAAGGGACCAAATAATACAGTTTGTTTTTTTAAAGTGGTTTGAATTGACTGGAAGCCGTTAATCTAGTATCTTCAGTTCTAAGTCTTGTTTCAGTTAATACCGAAAATGTCAACATTTTTTTCTTTGATATTTTTTTCTTCCGGCAACCATGCAGGAATAAAAGAAAAAAACCTAGACTCTGTTTCATTATTGCTTGTTAGCAACATGCTGTTATGCAACATATTGGGAATCAGTCATTAAACATTTTATTTAGCCTTTTTTTCATGTGGCAGTAGTGCTCTACCCCCTATCAAAGAACACCAACAACCTGTGCCTTGGTGTATGTTAAAATATAATTTGAATTTATAAACTGTACTTTTTGCCTGTGCACAGAGAAAATGTATGTGTTTATATTTTGTCCATGGGTTTTTTTGATGAAATTTTTTTAAACTAGTGGATTTACTACTGGCTGTGACCACAGATGTCTTCAATGCATATTGGGACCTGCTACACTTCAACTCTTTCTTGTAAGTTGTAATTTGAAGAGGTTTCCAAGATAAAAAAAAAAAAATGATGTAGTTTCTGATCCTTCATCAGCCGGACTAAAGAGCACAATTTTAGCCATGTTCTGCAGTGCTCCCATAGGAAGAACCTGTCACTGCAGCCTGGCCTATTAGATTAGTGGCATTATCATTCCCAATGTTAAAGGTAATCCGTTTTGAAAATAAGCAGTCCGACTGTAGCAATGTTCTACAATGACATTCTTGGGTCTGGCAGTGTATCCTCTACAGGTTTAATAAGGTGCTAATCCTGAGAGCGCTGCACAGGAAATGTTACTTGCGTAAGTATGTTCAGATTGCTGATATTAAGAGTTTATGAACTAGGAAAAATATTGTTGATTCCTGTGGGGCATAGGACACAGTTTACCCAGAGTATTTGCTAGCTATCAGTTATAATGGAAAACCCTTTTAGTAATAGCTTTATCACAGCAAAGCATGTGTATTTTTCAATTTATATTATATTTGTGCCAAATTTAAAAGGTAGCTTTTTTTTTTTTTAATAAAGGTTGTCACTGTAGCATGAATATGCCCTTGCAGATTAGCGATAACTGTGAACGACCGAACACTAACTGGCTCCCTCCTTTAATGGCAGTTGTTTGGTGTGTATTCTTTTTTTCATATCTTTTTTTTTTTTTTTCATTTTCTCAAAAGACAAATTTACTTAAAATGTATATTTTTGTTGTAATAAAGCTATTTCTCTTTCAAATTTAATAGATTTTTAAAATACAGGAATTTTTAGATAATATGGCCAGATGTTGATCAGAGTAAACCAGTATTTAATTTAACTAAATTATGATCCCATTGTAGTAAGTCAGTTTAAAAACACCCGTTTGTAAGGTAAACCATACCCAGTCCTTAGTAGGAATCTGATTAAAACTAAGATATTTGTGTGAGTGCCCTCAAATGGAAGCACTCATTCCTTTTAGCTGAATAGACTTGGCTAAAACAAATTAAGCCAGTATGGCATTCCAGGAGTCAATGAATACATTTCCTTCTCAGGCTTTTCCTACAGGTAATTGTTTTGTAACCAAGTTTTTGATCTTTGAATGTGGTGATCTGTTTATACATCTACAAAGTGTTTCCAGAAGACCATTTCTCCTAACTAAGTGCTTATTCATGTCAGCAGACATCCTGAGGAATAGTATTGACAATGCTTTGAAAGACAAGTGACAACTTTTTTGGGGGGGCAGGAGTCTGTCTTGTTTAAGGATGAATACCAGCTAGTGGTTCCAGATTTAAAGATGGGTGTACAGATGTACTTATAATATTTTTGATAGAGTCGTACTAATAATTCTGATAGTTTCATGCGAACTTGAAAAGAGCATCTGTTTTAATTTATTTCTTCATTTAAGTTACTGGCTGCAAAGTAGTTCAATTACTCAGTAGCATGAGATTAAAACTCCCCAATGTAAGCCTTCTCTTGTACATGTTAGTTTCAACAGCAGAGTGTACAACCACATTTGATTTTTTTTAGATGCTTTTCCTGTACACATTGTTTTTCAGGATAGCATAAAACCAATTACTGAGGTGCTACAATGCTCTTTCTCAAATCTCCTCAGCCTTGGCATGGCTATAACAGTCAAGCTATTTATTTGGTAGGAATTTGACATGAATTCAGTTTCTCAGGAGTAAATACTGTGTATGTGCTAATGAGCTTGGTGCACATAGCAATAACACCAGATTTGCTTGTAGTACCATTGTATGGAAAATTAAGCCAGCAATAGATGGATTGAATCTCGGCTGGTTCAGCAGGGACTGGCCAAGAGTCGACCTATCTGTGGGCAGGCTGACTGATCCATCAATCAACTTGTGTACAATCAGCATGCCGGATTTTTAGCATGCAATTATTGCCAGCAGTTATATCTGCTAGCAATAATCGTGTTCTTCCAGCAGGGACTGAATGTTTAGATGGGGGAATCGAGCTCCTTTCTTTCCTACAACCTGTGGTTGTGTGAAAGAAAATGGCATAATCTATGACCTGCCTTATATCCAGATATAGTTTCTATGCTTTAGTCTTCTTGAGAAGAGTGAGAAAGGATACTCAACAGAGATCTATGATCTCATTGTTGAGAAGCAGTCTACTTTACTGACAGCACATCTGCACCTCTAGCAAGCTGCCTTTAATTCTGTACCTGCGTCTTTCTAAGGTCTATGACCTTTCCATTATGAGCCACCTCTATTCAGGTGCCAAGTATAAAGAATATGGTACTGATAAATGTACACTCACCTCACCTCTACTACCTCTCTGTTGTAAAGGAAACCTATACTGAGAAAACTACACTACTACAAATTGTGTTCCAATTTACTTACTTTTTTTTTTTTTGTAGACAATTCTGAGAAGGTCGTGTGCTGACTATCAGTTCTGAACCATCTCGTAGTTTTTCTATATCCCCACACAAACTGGGGATACACTGAGGTGTCCCTCATTATGCAATGTAGAAGCCCAGGTTTTGAAACCTTTACTCTGTTATGCTAGGTACAAAAAAAATCTAACATGCATGGACAGCCTTAGAGCAAGTAAAAAGTTAGGCAGCAAACTTTTTGTTTTGCTTGGTATGCTATGTGAATGAGAACAGATATAAAGTGGGTGTTATCCCAGATCCGCAACCATTCTTGAAAACACTAGTGTTTACAGCATTGCTTACAGCAATATTTGATTTTATTGGAAGTGTTGCATTGTAGAAGAATGTGTGTAGAGAAATATATTTGTGTCATTACTGACCCTTTCTGAAAATGCTAATTGCCTGACTGTCTTGCTGATGGAGCACATTTTCTATTTCATCAAGTTTCAGGGCATGATAGATTGCTGAAAGTTTGCTAAAGCCTGCTAAGAGCTAGTTATAAGATGCCTGTAGCACTCCCATTAAGATATTTTACAATCCAAAAATCAAGTAGAGACTGCGGTCGGAAGGTTGCTGAAAATTTTATAAATGCTTTTTGTACACTTATCTTGTAAATTAAATGTCTACAAGTTGAAGTTAGTGTGAACTAGGCCTTGAGCATTTAAGGCACCATGCAGATGTTATTTAATACAAGGCTTTTCATCATTGCAATTTGATGATCAGACAATGTTGATGTAAAAATTTCAGAAGATAACCCTAAGGTACCATGGCTTGTTTCCAAAGCAGCTAACACTTTTTTGTGTTTGTTTTTTCTCTTCCAGTCTAAGGCCTGAATGAATACAAGTTAGATTAAAAAGTAAGGGGAAAAAAAAGTTAATTCTCATGAGCAACCATTGTTTAATGCGAATGGTTACCCATGTATTGGCAAAATGTTTTCAAACCATGTTAATGGAGAACGTTCATAAGTTTCCCAGTATTGACTTTGAAGAAAAATTCATCCTAAATAATTGTATATTGGTAATCTTAAAACGTGGTTCGTATAGCTTTCGACTCGGTCCATTGTTGTTTGCCAACACTAATATGGTTACTTGTAGACTGAACATGTAACTCCTTTTTACTGCATTTCATACTGGACTACATTTTGTCCTATTTCTACAGATATTTGTATGTTCCGATCGTTGAAACGGGTTTTGTTGCACGTTTTGGGGGGAAAAAGCAACAATTATTGCAAAAGACCTTTATAAATTATTTTAGTTAATGTTCACTTTAAGAAACTACACTCCAGTATTTAAAATGAAGTAACTGGTCTTTAATACAGATGAGGGGTTTAGGTTTTTGCAAAAAAAATTAAAAATCCTCCAGTTTGACACTTTTTTTTTTTTTTTTTTTTTTTTTTTTATGTTCAAATAAAATCAGTTCTATCTGCTATTATTTTTGGTATTGTGAAATTGGAAACCTTTTAACTTGTAAATGATCCACTGGTGAAGAGTGTGAATACAAGACAGTATTTTGATCTATTGGAAACTTTGTGATTTTTCTTTTTTTTTTTTTTTTTTTTTTTTTTAATAAAGACAATATCAGCATGTAAATAGAAAATAGTG